CGGTTCGCTAAAAAAACATAAGTATGCCATGAGAAAACATCAAAAATCAACGTAATATTAAACCCGTATCTAGCTGAGATTTCCATGCGGTTTGGGAGTGCTACATTAAATGTAAACTTGAATGATTAAGTTAAGAAAACACCAAACATCGAAAGGTTGCACATCGTGGCTGTGTTTACATATCGGTAATGATTCTGGCTTCATGAGAACACGAGCTCCGTTTTAAAATTGTCGGCTTTGATGTGTGAGGGTTATTCCTATCATGACAAATTAGAACACGAACTCCGTTTTTGTTCTTTAGACAATTTCAAAAAAGTTTTCAGAAATTAATTATTTGATAATATTTCTAACCAGGAAATTAAAATGAGGTTGTTAGAATACTTGCAAAGTTTTTAATTTAGCTCTAAAAATATAGGGTTTTAAGAATAAACAAGTTAAATGGCGGCTTTGACGTGTGAGGATTTGTTTCTTTCTTACCACATTAAAACACCAACTCCTTTCTAATTTACAATCATGCGTGTTTTCGCGAGATCTGCGTGAGTTGCCAATCTCTGTAATATATACGTCTCTGATTATGGAGACTCCTAAACTTGAAATTTCCTCCCTCAACTTTTCAACACTAGCTACAAGAATGAAGTAATATGTACAATAGAATAATTACGGGAATAAGGGAGGGAGTAATGGATTGGTATGCAGTGGAAACCAGGAATGAATAACATATCAATATGCATATGATCATCAGATGGTAATATCAATATCATATTGCTCTATTGCAATGAGTATGTGGAACACGATTCTGTAAAATATAACTATGGAATAGTAGATGAAAATGTCAGCAGTCCTGTAAATGGACACTCGAAAAAGGATAAAATGTATATACAAGTTACATAGAATAAATCACCACTAAATCAACTATTGACAAAATTGGTATGTCACAAAGCACCGCCATGATTATTAAAAACGTTGCAGTTCACATTCTAGCCATCACACTTATCAAATATAAGTCCATAAAACACTTTCCCGCCTCGTCCCTGGTACGTCCAAGAAATGCAATGGCAAAATCACTGAATAAGCATATAAATCACAATACATTTTAAAACATAGTAGTAAAACGAATGCAACACAACATACATATATATATATGTCAAAATGAAATCGTAGTGTTTTCTTGATGGGTTAGAGAGTCTTCACCAAAGATTTAAAGATTAGTTGATAGTTGATACGGCAAACTCAGAATATGAAGCCGTCTAAGTGATGTATATTTATTACTTTTTAGCAAATAATGTGTTGAGTTTTCAATGGCACCACAGGAACAATTCGGGGATGGTAAGATGTTTTTCGTAAACAAGTGTTCTTTTAGGGAGCTACATGACATACGCAGACTTGCGTGGTAAATTTGACCAAGACGTGAACCCTGAAAGTAGTATGAAGGTGGACATGATTTACTATTAGATTTCAGAAAGGCTTTTAAATGGGAAATGGAAGGATTATTTCTAATATGTAATGGAAGAGAATTCCAATTGTTTACAGCTTAAGGAAGAAATGCATTTAGATAAATATTTTGTTTTACAAAGAATAGGTGACAGACATGATGGGTTAGAAAGTCTGGTATTATAACTATGCACATCACTAACTGAATTAGGTTAGAGATTATACAGATACTCTGGAGTATTTTGATAAAACATTTTATGGAATGATTAAGTCTACGGTCTATTAATTTATTCCATCCAACTTCTGTATATAGTTTGTCTAACCTTACAAGTTTAGTAGCACCTGAAACAATCCTGGCAGCTTCCAAATTAACATTCTCTAGTTTAGAAATATATTTATATGTTTGTATCACCATATATCACAAGAGGTCTAATAAACGAAAAATATATATTTTGTAATGTTTGCCTGTCGTTATTTTAGGATTGAAATCAACTAACCAAGATTTGGACCATTCAGGAATTTTTTGTAGATCTGACTCCATAATGTTGTTTGTTTCTAAGGGGTTTTCAACTATCATGTACAGAGTAGTATCATCAGCAAATAATTTGATAGAAGATTTGATATCGTTGACCATGTCATTAATATAGATTAAAAACAACAAAGGTCCAAGTATTTAACCCTGTGGAACTCCAGCCTTAAATCCTCCCCAATCAGAGTGAATATTATTGATTATAAGTCTTTATTTCTATTCGTTAAGTAGCTTTCAAACCATTTGAACATCGATCCAGTTATTCCAACTTTTGATAATTTATACAACAGCCCTTTGTGCAAAACCCTATCAAATGCTTTGCTAATGTCACACAATACTAGTCTTATTTCTTTACCTGAATCTAATGCCTTAATAAATTCGTTGGAAATACTTAACAACTGGTTAATAGAGGAATCGCCTGGTGTAAAACCTGATTGATATTTTGTTATTACTTTCAAATCAAGAAGAAAATTATGAACATGTTTATAAACGCACCTCTCGAACACTTTACTAATTATACTTAAAAGTGAAATTGGTCGATAGTTTTGAACATCATTTCGGCTATCTTTTTTATATATAGGTAAAACATTTGCTTCTTTCCACTATGATCGAAATATTCCTTGTGATAAGGATTTATTAAAAAATATAGATAGTGGCTCAGCCAGTGATGTTGCAGCTTCCTTGAGCACTTTGGGACTAATAAGATCTGGTCCTACAGCTTTACCAGTTTTCAAATTGAGTAATGCATCCATATCATCAGTACATGATATATTTATATTACTCAGTGGAGGAAGCATAACCATTGAATTATCCACAACAGATTGACTTGAAAAATATAAATTAAAAACATTAGCTTTATCAACATCAGTTTCGTAATAGACATTATCATGAAAAATCGTTGGTATTTCTCCACATTTACCACTATTGTTCATGAAGAGTTTTACAGTTAACCACCATGACTTGTTGCATTGTCTTAAATAAGTTAATTTTGATTACAAACCGTTAAAATAAGATTCTTTGGATTGTCTAATGGCATTTACACACTTGTTACGGGGTTGTCTGAAAACAGACCAGTCAGATTGGCTATCAGTAAGTTTAGCCTTAATGTGATTTGTTTTACGTTTTGATATTAATTTTCTGATTTTTTTGTTCATCCATGGATGATCACGTTTTCTCATAACGACCGTTTTGTTAGGGATAGCTGAAGAAGAAGCAGAATCGATGAAGTCAGTTAGACGCTTGCATGCTAGATCGATATTAGCATCATATACTTGAGGCCAATCCGACATTTCTAATAGTTTTCTTAGTTTGTCAAAATGTCCATGCTTGTAAAGCCAAAGTTTCCTTCGGTAATAGTCGGTTGAATGTTGAGCAATATTAAGAGTTGCATAGATGGGACAATGGTATCTTACTGGTTGGTCAAGGAACAATAGCCCTACATAAGACCGATCTATTATAAAATCGTTATTTACCAATATAACGTCTATTAAGGATGTCGAATGCTCAGTATAACGCGTACATTCAGTAATTAACTGCGTAAGTCCGTAAGTGTACATTATGTTATCAAAATAGTTAAAATTGTGACTGCGTTGCAATAAATTTACGTTAAAATCACCAGTTATAAGAACATTTCCAATACTAGAGTTAATTGCCCTACCAATGGATTCCTCAAATTTGGTCCATACAGTAATGTTAGAATTTGGGGGTCTATAGAAACTACCAAATAGAAATGTTTGACCTTTGGATGCTATTTCAACCCAAACACATTCGACATCGTCAACTTCAATATCGGACCTTCTTTTGACAAAAAGATTGGCTGCTACATAAACAGCAACACCCCCACCAACGGCGTCATTACGACAGTAACAAAAAGGACTGTGAAAACCAGAAATATCCAAGGACGAATCAATACCAGAGTCAGAAAGCCAAGTTTCGGTAAATGCTAAAATACTATGCCCATAAAGTTCGGTGTATGGAACATCTAGTTTTGGACGCAAGCTTTGTACGTTCAGGTGGACGAATGATAAGCAATTATTATTATGTGTAAAATATACAGGTTCGTCAGAGGAGATTGACGAGGAGCTATCAGAAGGATGAAAGGGGCCGGGGTTAGTTTCTATATCGCCACAGCACTATAGTGACAAGACGATGAGTATGGAAATATACAGTATAAATTGAGCGATGATCGCCATGAAATACGCTTTAAGTAATAACGTTTGATTTCGATATGAAGTTGTGTGTTCGTTGCAAGTTTTACATATGCCTAACTGTCGAGCAAGGAAAAAAAATATGACAATGGGCAAAAATGCATGATGGTTAAAAAAAAGCACAATAAAAAGGAAGACTTCAAAAACAATTCATTATACTTACATAAGACTGCTGGTCTTAACACCTGGATTACCCGTTCCCAGTATCATTTGACCAGAAGGAATAATGCATGTGCTGGGTGCCCTCGGCACGTTTCAGTAAGGTAGCACTTGTCATACAGATCCACGCTATTGCAAGGGGGCAAAAACACTCATACAGTACACACATGAAGACACACCCTTAAATGGCCTTAGTTACCTGGACGTTAAAAACAAATTACGGTGGAAGAAGAAACGCAGTAATTCAATACGTCCCAAAAATTAGGGACTGATATATATATTGTTCAATATTTTGTTGCATTAGACAGTAATGTACTCACAACGGAAGCATACTTCTTATCATTATTATAACATTGCATCAGAAGCTACCGATACCCAGTAAGCTTGCATTTCTCACCAGTTTGTATAGATATTTTTCTCCTTTATATTGTTACAATGAATTTCCTTTAATTACATCATTAACATATATGTACTTCTGCACTTGAATACAGCTGTTTCATTTATATAACTTTGCACACTTTATAACATTTAAAGTTGATAGAAACTGTCTATTAAATTGAAAAAGGAGACATGTGTCTGTTTATATGATTAACAGATGGTGTAACAATGCCTACGTGTCAATAAGCATTATTGATATGCTGTTGACCAATAGCATTTAAACACATAATTTTCGTGTTTCTGTCATCTATAAAAAGCTTAGCGCTGCATTCAGAAGTTGTTATATTCAACGAATCACATTAGCAGCTGCCTAACGAGGTGAGTTAAACTAATTATATATCTGCGAATGGGTATCATCATTCACTCTTTGAAGAATAGAAACATATTTTACAATAATGACTGGATATTTCAATTTCAAACATTAACGATATGTTCCTAAAACCGAAAACGTGACAAACGATCAAAATCTATACGTTCTTAATTTGTATGGAATGTATGTTTAGGACTTATATTACTGTCGAATGGCCATCAAGTGTTTTTCAAAGTTGCTTAGAATGCCAATATTCTCGAGAGGGATTGATGCTCGGCTTATTCCGCGCCTTTTTTATCAACCTTGTCTTTGGTATAACTAAGTCTCAGATTGTATGTTTACGAGATTCAGTTAGTATTCATAAATTATTTTATTCGGATTGGCAGATTGCTTTCTTTGCAATGTCCTATGAGGGAATGATTTCATAATGAAAATATTTTCCTGATATATTATTTACCAAAGCTTTGCGAAGGTTAAATGTCTGGCAAACCATTTACACATATTAAGCTAGAGCTGTGACCAATGGGGTGACAAATATACCCCCACAGACACGTAAATTGTAAAATGACCACGCAAATGTCTTTCTCTGTACTCTGGTTTAAATTTATGAGCACATTTTTCCGACATTGTCTTGCTAAAGAAAGAAGTGCGATCGCAGTCATATATACGCCTCAGTTTCTAGACTAATTCAAAACACAGAGAAGACTGCGATCGGGATATTATAATAAAACGATGCGGAAACGGGCAGGATTTTCCGGGATGGGCAGAAATAAGACAATAAAGACAGTAAATAGCCAAAATTGTATGGCATATTTTGTGTGTTAAAATCGTAAGGATAAGGCATTTTTTATGTAAATGGGCATACTCCCTTAAAAAAGTCCGAAACCTGCCTTTTTCTGATTTTAAACCTCCTATAACAAATTTTATTAAAACGAATTGGCAAAATGTATGGTCTGAGGAATTAAACGGCAAGTTATTTGCAATTCAACCTAATGTTGGTTTATGTGAATAAATCTATTAAAAAAAGATAGGCGAATGCATAGCCGAACAAACTTTGTCTACGGACAGACGTACAAGCTGGCAAACTTCGTTGCGGGGATATACGCAGGGTGCTGCGATCTGATAGGTTGGTAACTTCCATCAGATATCTTTAAACAAAATGTGCGAGTTTTGATCAAGCGTGTGGGGATGTTACGTCTCACAATGGCTGAATGCTCAACAAATTCTGAACATATTTGTTGAGGCTACTGAGTTCTGATTCGCTGATAGGTTTCCATGCAATTCGTACCTTGTGATAAAATTATCAGAATTAGATTGAACTTGCCTGGTTTACTACTGACCCCAGTCTCTTATCTGGTTTACATAATAGACGAATTTTGTCAATGCGGATGCTGAGTTGTCAATGGACGCACTTGCATAATTTACCTTATTTTCTCGCTTGAGTTTAACGGTAAACGATGTTTTAATAGATCACCTACTTCAACATTGCAAAATTTCTGCCACCCCTAGGTAACATGTAGTCACCATACATTGCTTTTGATTGGCTGACACATATATGGCTATTATTTTTGTTTTGTTGATTTTATGTTGGTCATAATAAGTGGATAGAGAACATTGTGAAAGAAAACGTTTTCAACCGATCCAATTAAACAAGATGACTGCCATGGTTGCCGATTCGCTGAGAAATATGGGATCAAAAGTTTCGTTCTTCTTGTCTGGTATTGTTCATACTTGATGGTAACCTGTATTTGTCAGACACGTAAACAATCATTGCGCTTTATTACCTTTACTTCAAATTTATTATTGTGGCTTCTCAAAAGCCAGTATGGTGAATATATTTGGCGGGACCCTTGTTGACCTTTGAGTGTTCGTGTTAACCTTTTTTTTATAATAAACGTTTATCTTTTTCCTTTTCGTTCGTTTGATGTCATTTCCTTACATATAATTATTTACCTTTCATTTACCCAAATGACCGGTTCTGTGTTGATGGGTCGTTCAGAATTCAATATCTATCTTGTCAAGGCGAGTAATATTAATTCATTTTTTAATGAAATATTTTCAGCAGCCCGATGGGTGAATGCAAGCATGTACATATTATCTCTGATCGGAATGACAAATATACACAAATCAAGTAATGGTTGATAGATGCGTAGGTATAAAATATGTCTGTACAAATGCAATTGTCTATTAATTGGGCTACAATGCAATGGTGCTGTTATGCTATTCCAAAGTGCCTATCCTCTACCTGTAAAGACGAATATAGGACTGCCATATCCAACTTCATGTCCTAAAAAGCGACAACTTGTGCTCCCTGTATATTTGGGGGCTTTCTCCCGTGTCATGTGCTTACGAAACAACAATTGGTTTTCTGCTCCTATTGCAACTATGGAACTTTGATATTTTCTTTGTACTTCCTAAAAATGTGTCTGTTAACTAGTGTCTTCCTTGGTAATACCTTAATTTTACCCTCAGTATTGAGTGTTCGGTCCTTAGATGGCATTATCTGTTAATAGGACGTTAAGCCTAATCAATTTGGTTTGGTATGCTTGTTTTTTACGTCCCTTTAACAGCTATGGTCATTTGAGGACGTGTCAGGTTTTGGCGGTGGAGAAAAGCCGGAGTTCCCGGAAAAAAACCCACCTATCTTCGGCCAGTACCTGTACGCGACCCAGTGGTGGAGGGCTAGTGGTAGCAAAATGTCAGACGCCTTAACCACTTGGCCACCGCGGCACTTTATGCATATCAAACTAATGAGAGACTCTACAGCTATTTAGTAAACAAGGCGCATGACATTATCAAATTATGTCTTTATTATATAGGTTTTGTTTTGTTTGTTTTTGTTTTGTTTAGTGCCAACAATTCTGTAAAAAGAGACGTTCACGAAAATAAACACATCAAACCAAAACTTAATAGCTTAAAATAGTTAAAGTACTAGGGATATACATCAATATCGAACAAATTTGCTGCACAATATATCAGATTTTATTGTAAAGATCAAAAGAGTGTAAAATAGTCATATATTAATTGCACAGAAACTGTATCGAATAATCTTTTCATTAACGGTACATCATAAAATCTGTCACGTATTTGTTTGAAATCAGCGCATTTAATCATAAAGTGTTTGACTGTAAATGATTGATCGCATGCATAACAATAAGGCTGTTTTTTACGCAAAATGTAGCCATGTGTGATGTAGGTAATGTCCTCGCTTAGGTCTGCTCTACTTGCACATGAACCCACATTATGTTGAATTGCAAATAACTTGCGGTTTAATTCTTCAGACCATACATTTTGCCAATTCGTTTTAATAAAATTTGTTATAGGAGGTTTAAAATCAGAAAAAGGCAGTTTATTATCCTTTGGTGGTAGATTAAGGGCTGCTTTATCTACCTTTTCATTTATGTTTATTCCGATATGACCTGGTATCCAAATCAAGAGCAGTTGGCAAAACAATGAAATACCTATATATAAAGTGATTTTATAGTATCGTTGAATATTTATTTCTGCTTTCTACAGTTATGTTGTTCCCTTTGTGAGTCTGTTTTCCACGCAAATTTACATTTGAGGCCTCTGGTGCCACTTGAAGCATATACTAATTCATATCCGGATATTGTAGTAACGTACGAATAAACATTCAAAGACAACACACCTATTGTAAAAAGTTCACAATATATTAAGAAGTTATTCCATTTTGATTATGTTCCATTTCAAATTGTCTGAAAACATGTTTTTTGTTTCATTGCAGACAGTCAAACAGGAATATGAAATCCTATATCCTTCTCGCTTTATTCGCCGCCTGTGTTTTGGTCAGTTTTGCCCAAGATAATACACCTGATGAGGAAAACCAGGAATCGCAGATGGATTCAGAATCAAATCTTTCTGAACAACCTTTATCGGGCAAGGAATTCGCCGCATTGTCAGATGCTAACCAAGAAGCGCATGTCTCAGAACAATTAGATCCAGGCAAGGATATCAACTCATTTAGGTGGCATCGTATTCGTTATTTTCATCGTCGTCATCGTCATCGTCATCATCACCATCATCATCATCATTATCATCATCATTATCATCATCATTATCATCATCATCATCATCATCATCATCATCATCGTTGTTGAAGTCGTCGAAGTCGTTCCTCACCGTCATAATGTCGTTTGCGAAAAAAAACAATAGGTTGCAATTCAAACATTGGACACTAAACCCCCTTTTTACATGTTTAGAGGAGGCATGAATAAAAATTTCAAGAAGCATCTTATCGTTGTCTTGTGATACACTTGTCTCTTTGCATGTATATTATACAGCATGACAAAACCATGCATACCACCTGTCCCTTTTATATTATGATGTTTTAGCTGACCATCCTCAGATGGAGATCTATTCAAAGCATCCTTCATCCGTGGTCCGTCATTCCGTCCGCCCTTAAACATTCTTGTTTTTATATCGCAGAACGTACGGAACTGAAGGATCTTCCTAAAGTTTAACATGTTAATCATGCTCAATAGTTGTGCATATTTACTTTTGAGACCGACAGACAGCCATCTTGAACTTGAGAGCTTGATATTGTTATCGTTATTTATCAATCGTACTACCGGTATCTGGTTCACATGAAGGTTCCTCATGGACCTTGGTTAGGCATAACAAGTTTTGGAACTGATGAGAAAACCAAGGGCGACCATCTTCGATTTTTATTTTAAGGTTTGTTATCTATAATTAATGAAAAATACTGGGGAAACTTTCTCAGATTTAATATGTAGGTTTCCCTTTGTCTTTAGCTGTCCATGTTTACTTTTCACGTCCTAGTAACAGCTAAAGTAATACAAGTAGGCGTCTCCGTGAATGTATTTATGCGTGATTGTGTGTATGTGTAGTGGAGACAGGATAAGTTGCTGTGTTTGCCTCCTTGCGATAGCGCGAATCCTATACCTACTTTAAAGTGCTACCTCACTAAAACAAATCATGCCGAAGGCGCCAAGCATAGTATTCCACCCGGTCAAATTATGCTGACAACTGGTTAACTGGTTGTTGCGATTACCCTAAATGCTGAACGTTAAGCAGAGCATAGTAATTACCAATTTAAGGACTTCGGATTGTCCCGGTTAGGGGACAGAACCCATTGATTACCCTACTTGGCCAAACATTCAAGACTAAGGCCAAAAGCGAGTTATTGACAAGTAAGGCGCTATGATATATAAGGTTGTTAGAAGTGGAGAATAATATAAAAATCCAAAATACTTTTCTTAGTGGAAGGAATAGGCCTGCTGTATCCAACTCCATGATAGTATAAGGCGATTAAGGTCCCCAGGTCCGCCACCTAGCGGTCGACGCGAGTTGTAGCCTTTAGAACTACGTACGTGTATTAACAAACCAATCAAAATGCATCTAACACAATTGCTTCAACAACAAATATAAACATGGAAGCACCCCTTCGTCAGTCTATCTGCGACAATTTCAAGTTAACTTAACAGACACATTATCAGGAAACGGCAATCGAGACATTGACCGACGGAAAATATGTGTTCATTGGAAATAAAACTAAAACGCTTATGGAAAGTCATTTGCATATGAATGTTTTCCTTTGTTGCGTCAATACAGCAGTCTACATGTCTGCATGTTTACATTCTCGCTTTCGTTTGTAAACGTAATCTGATTCTTTATCTAGTTTCGAATGAGATGGGCCCGACTATGACTCTGAAATCACGGTCTAAATATGCCAATGTTGAAGAGTAGGTAGACCAGTCGTAACTATTGGCTAGTCAAGTTGTTTATCGTAGAAGCCGATGAGTGCGGATGTACCTGCAGAATCACCGTGTCTTCTACGAAGGACATTGAACAAACCTAATTGCTCCACTGACCCCTCTGACCACTAAATAATGCGTTTTTAGTTTTTGAGGAGGCCCATGGTGTCACACTTGCCCTTGCTTCTAATAAATCATACGATGTGAATCATCTTATATAATTCCCTATCTGTTTTACGGAGCCTTCGCAACAAAACTTTCTCACTTTGTAAAACATTACCATTATTACATACAGTAGTATTGTACCTTAAATTATTACATTATGTTGGGTCCCCGGCATGTGGACCAGAGAATAAAAAGGCAAAACGCGACGCAAAAGGGGATTTAGTTGTACAACCTGTTCACCCGTTTTCAGTATAATATTACCGGGCGGAATGCTGTGCTTGGCATGGTATTTCGGTGAGAGAGCACTCTAAAGTCGGCATCAGATCCGCGTTATCTCAAAAAGGCAAACACAACAAGACAATTCGACGAAATATAGTCCCCCACCGAATGTGAAATGCACAGATAAATTCGTGCAGGAACTAATTCTATAAGTGAATGTTTGACAGACCCACCGTATTCAATTAGTAATAGTGTCAGTGACCTGGTCAAAAACAGAATGACCTACTTTGATATATGACACACCGCCTCACCAAGATGAATCCATACTCCAAGTATAAAATTCCAGTGACTAGTAGTGTAGGAAATAGAGCCCGGACAAACCTTTTCTTTGATGCAGGTCAAAGGTCAAAATGTAGGTAAGAATGACCTACTTTGATATACGACACACTGCCCCACCCAGATGAATCCATACTCCAAGTATAAAGTTTCATTGACTAGTAGTGGAGGAGATCGAGCCCGGACAAACTGTTTCTTTGATGTATGTCAAAGGTCAAAACTTAGGTCAGAGTGAGCTTGTTGATTATAAATTCATTTTATATATTTTAAATAGTTATTAATATATTTTGTAAGGTCAAAGTTAAAAAATAATCGGAATCGATGCGTAGAAAACAAATTATATTCTGAAATACCTCAACTCGGAGGTTGGTATCCAAGTTATAGATAAAACCGCAGAAACGAGGTTGTACTTGCCCGAGTCATCTACGGATGGGTTATTCATGTATTGGTCATACTTAATTGTTGAAGAGCGAATACTAGCCTCCATGCGAGGCATGCCCCCATTGCATGATCGTGAGAGGCGACTAAATTTGGGATCTTATCTTTTCTCTTCTTTCTAAACAACTTTCTTCTTCCTAATGTCTCCCCTGACAATGCCTCACTTTTGGCCTTTAGTCGAGCGTTCGCCCCTGTAAGGAAGGCTTTGGGTTCTGTTCCCTGGCCGAGACATACCAGAGTCTGTATAAATAGTAGTTTCTACTCCTGCTTTACGCTCAGGAATTTAAGAGTGGGACAAATGGTTCGCCCGTTGTCAGTATGATCCGACCAGGTGGGGTGTCCTGCTGGGACACACGCATAAACTACACGCATGCATCTTGCACACGGGAGAGGCCGTCTTTAAATGACCATAGCTGTTGATAGGACGTTAAACAATACTAAACCAAACCAAACCAAGCGTGGCATGTCACAAACCATTAAAAGGAAAAAACTTGTCATAAGATTGACCTTCAGTGAACAAACATATTTTTTATTATAAATATCTTTTCTACATGTAAAATCCCTACAATTCTAGCCTACCTAAAGACTGTTGATCTGTTAAGAAAGAAATAGCTAACCATATCCGTTTTTACTTTTCAAGTTGACATTTGTCTTTTACCTTGTCGTTCGTTTGATGTTATTTCCTACGATACATTGGCCCTTATGACTTCCTGAATGTTGACGGACCGATTAAAATCTGACAATAATAAAGAAATTTACTAAACGAGAAAGTTAAGGGGGATGGAGGCAATGGGTTCTAACCACAGGTTAGAATTACCAAAGTCCTTGAAAAAGTGGTTATTGTTATTCCCTGCTAAACCTTCAGCATTCAGGTAATTGCAACATGTGTTTCACCTGTCGATATTATCATGTGACCGGTTGAAATTCTGAAAGGGTGACTCCCGAATGGTGTCTAATTGAGGAAGCAGACTAAATTGATGCACAGTTACTTGTAGCTCTCAGAAGTACTAAAACTGTTAGTTGTTATTCCCAGCTGAACGTTCAGCATTTAAGGTTATCACACCAGCTTGTTTACCCGTGTTCAGTAAAATGGAACCGGGTATAATAAAGTGCTGGATGTTTTCACTATGGTGTTTTAGTTAGGTAGCACTCGTCCGCACAACAATCTATTGTCCAGTTGTGCGTTAAATCTCGCACATGTGGTAAGATCGGTTGATCGATGTTACGGTATGAGCAAATTCAGAAGGCTCGACTGAAACAAGGTACATCGTATACGTATATAATATCCGATTGGTATTTTTTTCACTTTTACTTATTCTCTAATGCATGTTACACATTATTACAATGAGTGTAAAACAGTCAATAGGGAGGTGTTACTGTCAGCTACAGTAGTAGTACATGTACGTAGTGAATTTCCGCCTTTATATTGTATCCGCGGTTGACTAGTGATACAATAAAATGTACCCATTACAACATAATTAACAGTTAACTGGTATATAGTAGCAGGTTACGTGTACAGTACGTACATGTATTTGACGGTATATCAACACTAGTGTTGATTGAGGTCATTTCATAGTATTTACAGTAAAACACTTGTTATTAGATTGTATTGGCCTTCAGCCAACAAGAAAATTGTTTGATAATATTATAATACATCTCAAATCACTTTTCAAAAAGGTCAGTATCTCTACAATTCTGACCTACCTAAAACGTTTTTAGTATAATGTAACCGAGCGGAATTCTATGCTTGGTGACTTCGGCAAGATATTTCAATGAGATATCATTATAAAGTCGGCACCAGATCTGCGATATCGCAAGGAGACTATAACTTCTTCAATAATACACATGGAGGCTATAACTTAAATGACATTAGCTGTTAATAGAACGTTAAATCCTATAAACAAGCTAATCAAAACAATTTCGGTACGCGATAGGTTCTGTTGACCTCATTTGCAACACTTCCGGATCTATATATATTCGTTCTCGCTTCCCAATATTTTCTGTTGGTTGTTTCTCTCTAGTCACTTATCTCCAAAAGACCCTGTTAGTTGTTAGGAGGACATTAAACACCAAACTAAGGTAAAACAAGCATGTGTGTCTTCAACCTTTGGTAATGTATGTTGATGAAACTGTATATAATATAAGGACATAAATGGTTGGCTGTAATAAACAAGAGGCCCATGGGCCTTAAAGGTCACCTGCTATATTTATACAGAGAGTTGATTTTGTTTTTAACATGAACAGAAATATTATTCAAAGTGACAAAAAAACAATAAAACCACCTTATTCAATATCTCGCATACAGATTTCAGGCTAAAAAGGATTTGAAACTAGCACCTCTGATTCTTAACAAGGAAAATGAAGAAATTTTAGCACACTGACTCCTTTGAGCCCCACCCTACAGCCCTTGGGGGTAGGGCTGGCTCAAGTATCAAACTGTCAATTCAAGGTTATAATTCCAATCAAGTTATTAACATGTAATATTCAAAGTATCAATTGCCATTATAAAGCATAATAAATTTTGCCCCACCCATCAGCCCCTGGGGGTCAGTCATAGCTCATAGGTGCATACTATCATACTGCTACCTAATACTGATAATGCTAACCCAAATTGAATTACTTCCAATGGAAATTAAACAAATGTTGGTCCAAAATGTGATTTCCCTATATAAACTATAGTAAAGTTTACCCCCTCCCCAGGGGGAAATGTGAGACCCCAGGGTCAAAAAATTCACAATTTCGGTAAAGCACCTTAAGACCCTTCCATCTATGAAGAGTATTTGATT